CCCAATGAGACCACCAAGCAAATAAATAACTCACTTGTTATGTCTTCCATAAACTATTGCAATGCCCTACTTGTTGATCTGCCTTAACACAGACTACCCCCCCTTCAGCCTATCATGAATGCTGCTACCTGACTCATCCACGTAAACAGCCCCCCAGTGTCTGTCACTCCTCAGTAACTCCTGTTCGCCCAACAATAAAAATTCAAAATACAAACAACATACAAAGCCATCCACAACTTTGCCCCAAGCTACATTACCTATATCCCAAAATATCACCCAAGTCATTCTCCTCACTCTTTCCAAGACCTTCTACTCCCTAGTTCCGTCATAAACTTGACCTATGCTTGACTTCAGGTCTCCAAAGCCTCTCCCATCCTCTGGAACGCCCTACCCCAAGCTCTCCAGGTACCTGCTATTCTGTCCACCTTGAGGTGATACACTTATCTCTTCAGGGAAGCTTCATTCTAAAAACTGAGCTTTTACCTTCTTCATCAGATCATCCTCAATCAGTTATTATCTTTTGTATCATTTGCTTCTCCCCTTTAGAATGTAGGCTCTGTTGTCTTAAATTGTATTGTAACCATACTGGGGGGAATTTATCAAAACTGGAGCAGACAAAATCTGGAGCAGATTTGCACTGCAACCAATCAGCTTCTCTGTCTCATTTTCAAGTCTAACCCGAACAAACTGAAGAGAGATGCTGATTGGTTGCCATTGGCAACTGCTCCAGATTCTCTCTGCTCCAGTTTTGATAAATTCCCCCCACTGTATCTCTTCATGATGTAAAGTGTTGTGCAAACTTTCGGCATGATGTAAATCCTGCATCATAATAAAGAAGGGTGCTTTTGTGACTTTGCATACTACTGGCACAACGCATACATACTCCTCCAGTCTCATTATAATCACAAGCCTAGCTTCATCTTCAGTCTTTTAGTTTGCTGTCTGCACTTCCAGACATGCTTGAGTCACTTTAATACAGAGAAGGAAGACATGACTGACTGGAAACAGAGTCAGCAGGGGCATACAAGTATAGTGGATTACAGCCAGAACATTTTTGATCTCTGTGTTCTATTTGGGGAGATTTTGCAGGCACAGTAACTGGGCTGATATTTCGCCAATAGGAACACAGACAATAAAACCCAGACCGAGGTCCTTACCCTTACCATACTATTCAAAATGTGTACATGTTACCGTGGTCCTGCTGAATGCAAATTGAACGCAGGATTGGGATGGACTCCTGAATATTCAGGATGTTCATCATCACATTAATGTGTACATATCAGGCAGATTCCATTAAAGCTGTACTCCAAGCAGATATAAAAACACAGCTGATCAATACAGTTATTTATTAATAACAAATTATTAAATGTAGTATTGACATGGTATAAGACTCCTTATATTCATAGCTAAATGGGTGTGCTACAGTGCACATTTGATAGCAGGGAACATACTGACAAAAGAGCAAAAAGATGATCTCATCAGTCTTCTGCTATGTCTTCACTGCCCAATTACAAGTTACAAAGTTACAAGCAGACCAGGCTGTACTGCATGACTGCAGCAGAAGGTCACCAACCTGTGCTGTCCAGCAGAGCAGTCTCTGTAAAAATACTGTTCAGTGGGAAAAGGATCTTTATATGCAGTTTAAAGGACAACATTGAAAATACACAAATCCTAAAAATAACAAGCTTGGGGGATGTCCTAAAACTACATGTGAAGTAAACACCAGTGCAGGGAATCCTGGATGATGTCATTAAGCAAATATGGCCATGACCATGCTTGGTCAATGACATCACCAGTGAACCCTAGCTGTTTTCTTTAAATTCAGCAGCCAGGGATTCAGGCATGTGAACTGGTCAAATAAAGCTACTAGGTGCTCATTGTGTTTGTCGTTTGAAGCCAGGTGATTGAAAAGGAAGGGTGGAGAAAATATTTACCAGCTATTCCTGAATTGTCCTTGGCCATGGTATTTATAACATGTGTCTGAGCTAATGCCCCTTAGTATTGTGAGTAAAATGTACGTGTGACACTGCAGCTGTTGTGCACTGGCCCGTTAGATTGAGAGCTGAGCGATCACCAACCATTGATTGCTCAGCTCACAGCAGAGTAGAGACTGTCAGTGTCAGTCACTGATCTGTTCAGGGATTCCCCCCTCTCTTTATTCCTCCAGCGCTCATTGGAGGGACAGAAAGGGGAGGGGATGGGCACAGCTGGCTCTAGAGAGGCAGAGCCAGCTGTCAATCGGGTAGCGGGGTGGATCCCGACAATATTGTTAGGGTCTTTCTTAGCTGCAGCACGGCTCTACGATGTCAGCCTATAGCAGGCAGTAGCTATCTGCTGAGTTAGGGTCAAAGGAGTACATTAGTAAACCACCACCCTGACCAATGTAAGGGGCAATGGTTCACTGGCTACCCATGTAGGAGCTGCATCACTGGCCACACATGTAGGGATGTCCTTTTCCACTTACCAGCCATATAAGGGGGTATTCTTCCCACTAACCACCAATTTAAGGGGGACCATCTCCAACTGATCAGTGATCACCACTTACACTAAAAATCTTTCCATAGCTGTATGTAAGGTGTAGTTTTTCCACTGATTACAATTGTTAGTAGGCACCTTCCACTCACCAGAAATATAGGGTCATTCTCTCTTCTGACTAATAATGCTCGGGCACTTTCCCAGTGACCACTAATACAAAGGGACACTACTCTGTCCACCAATGTATAGTGTATTGTATCCACTAGCCAAACATGCATAGGGACACATTATTGGTTTAAAGAAGAACTCCAGGCAAAACTTTTAAGAACCCTCGCAGAGAGGGTACCTGCTTGTTTTTGTCTAGGTGCTAAATAAAGTTATATTCACCTGATGCTCCGAGCTGGCTCAACCATGCTGCAGCAGTCTAAGGTCCTGTAAATCATCACATTCTATACACTGTGTATAGATGTAAATACGATGCGGAACATTCCAATGCTGCAGCATAGGAGGAACCAGGCTTCCGAGAACAGAGAAACGGGGAGCCAGCTCAGTGGTTCAGGTATAATTTTTTTTTAGCAGCTATCCAAAAATCAGCAGCTAACCCTTGTAGCGTGGTTGTAGCCCCACTGCAAGGGTTAATACAAGCTTTTCCTGGAGTTCCTCTTTAAGGGGATTCTTTTCCATTTATAACCAATGTAATAGGCATTCCATCTATTGTCCACCAATGTAATAAAAGGGACATTCTTCCCACTCACCACCAATATAAAGGATATTCTTACTACCAGTGACCACCAATGCAAGGGGACCCTCCTCCCACTGATCACCACTGACACCAATGATTTTTTCAGCTGTCTGTGAGGACGCATTCCTTTCACTGACCATTGTTAGAGGCAACTTCTCTCAGCAATGTAAGGTGCATTCTCCTCACCCGCCATTATGCTAGGGAACCATTTACCAACTGCCAATGTGAAGGAACATTTCTCCACTGACCACCAAAGTGAGGGCCATTTCCCTACTGACTGCCAAGGAAAAGGGCAATTCTCCACTCACTGTACTCCATTCTTTCTTCAGAAAAAAGCCTTGCATTCTTTTCAATAAATGCAAGGCATTCTGTGATTGGAGGAGGAGAGATTGTGAAGTTCATCCATACTTCCTCCAATCACAGAGTGCCTTACATTAATTGAAAAGAAAGCAGGGCCTTTTTTCTGAATGGAGGATAGAGTAGCGTGTACAACCCACTGTGATCTCAGCACACAATGTTTGGTGCTGACAAGATAGGGTGGGCTGACTGAAACTAAAGTAGTAGTAAAGTATCATGATAGCTTGCTCCTGTGGTGGACTACAATCTCAGTACAAATTAGTAAGCTAAATGTGAAATTATAGTATGTAGCTTCTGCCTTGCAGCACTGGTGGTCCCTGGTTCATATACCGGTCAGGACACTATCTGCAAGGAGTTTGCATGTTCTCCCTGTCCTTACGTGGGTTTCCTCTGGGTACTCTAGTTTCCTCCCACACTCCAAAGACATGCTGGAAGGTTGATTGGCTCCTCTCTAAGCTGGCCCTTGTATGTATGCATGTGAGATAGGGACCTTAGCTTGTAAGCTCCTTGAGGGCATGGACTGATGCGAATTGCACTATGTAAAGCACTGCGTAAATTGTCGGCACTATATAAATACTAATAATAATAATCACGAGAGCGAGCTTGGAGCGGTGGCTACTTTACAACACACACAGGGACCATGGGGAACAAACGTAGCCACCCTCCAGAAGGAAGGACAGTGTCAGCACCAATTCAGAGATGATTTGATGATCTGCAGCTGAGTGATACACAAATAACCTTAGATTGTAAGCTCCTTGAGGACAGGGACTGATGTGAATGCACAACTATGTAAATCGCTGCAAAATAATTGTCGGCACTATATACTTTAACTGACTGAAATAAGTAGCTACATTTTGTTAACAGTTACTGAAGTAAGTAAGCTACATTTTGTTAACAGTTAAAGGTACTTGAAGATTTGACTCCTGAGCTTAGTGCCACTTTAACTGCTGTAGAAATCTGTCCTATAATGTTGGGAGCAGAACTTCCAGCTCCCAGTGATCAGTCACAGTGCAGCTTTTGAATTTTCGGCATCTTATGTTTTCCTAAAACAACAAAATGATCTGTTCCCTCATAAATATTCCGCACATCAGCAGACACTGGAGAGTCTGGCTGCCCTTCTGAGTCATTTCATCTCTGCTTTGTCTGAAATGAATGCATCTGAAATCAGAAATATTACATTGATGCCTGTAGAAACAGAAATGTGTTATGATTTCAAGGGGGACATTTAGAAATGAAAGCTCCATGGGATTTGTATGAGTGCTACCCCCTATGTGCAGTTGTTGCAGTGTAGACTGCCAGGGAAGGGTTGGTGGTCGGTGATGACTTTAGCACCCCCCTCCTCTTCTTTCCCAGGCCAGGAGGGGAGGGGCTGGCTGGCTGCTCTCTCTAGTGCTGCCTATCCCTCTCATTAGTGAGCACACTTCACTCATTCACTCAGCTGCTGCTGCTACTCTCCGGGAGGAAAAAAAAAAATGTCTTGGGGCTATTCTCAGTTCCAAGTCTTCTTACTATCCGTTTATCTGATTGTGTTATCTCAGCTTAGCAGAGCCAGTGACACTGAAAGCCAGCAACCTCCAATCCCAACAGGTAAGCGGAATGTCATCATCCAGACATCTAAGGATTAGGTGTCACTTTGTACAAGTCGGGCTTTGATCACTCCTAATTGTGGGTTATCCCTTGCAGCACTCGATCTGTCATTGTATCCTCTAGAAGAGAAATTACTTTTACTGAAAGATAGAAGCTAAATATACTTAACCTAGACATATGCATAGCTTAGCACCGACCGATCGCTCCCCTAAATTTCATCCATGACCCCATATATCTGTCATCTGTTACAAGAGCGATCAGGTATAGGTGTCATGTAAAAGTGAAAGGGGTCGACTATAAAATGTGGATGATTGCTAGAAGATTGCAGAGGGGTGTAATGTGTGTGATCTGGGGACTTGGAGGAACTTGCTTCCTTTGTAAGGTGATCACACAGTGATTCATTGACTGTCCCAGACACCAAGCTGTGTTTATTTTACACGTTCCACTGCACGTATCCACATCCCGCTACAATGGAGCTTTCTTTGTGTTATCACTTTAAAATTGGACATATTTTTTTTTGGTTGTGATCTGCCAGATTCTTTGTTCTGATCTGGGGATTGGAATGTGCATTGTTCCATGACCGCGGATTTTATTTTAATGAAGTATGAAGTACACTATTGGAAAGTGAACTAGAACATGACTTGTAAAGTAACACAACAGAAGAGATATAACGGATACATTGTCAATGTTCAATGTATTTCTTCAGTAAGGGTCACACCCTGCTTGCTGACTTTGCTGCAACATTGTATGGTCCATACTTTGTCTTATATTCAAGTGAAAGTGTCACTAAACGTAGGAGTTAAATCAGGCAGTAGATATATGCAAAAACCCCAGAGGGTTTAAATATCCTTTTAAGAGGAATTTTATTCTTATCTTAAAGTGACACTAAACTTAAAATTAACTCTTAAAAATGCATTCAAGTACCTTTTTAGTTAACAAAATTGTATCTTCTTTGTGCATCACTCAGCTGTAGATCCTCAAATCATCTCTTAATTGGTGCTGACACTGTCCTTCCTTCTGGAGGGTGGCATTTTTTGTTCCCCATGGTCCCTGGGTTTGTCGTAAAGTGTGTTTGGAGCAGTGAGCTTGGAGTGATGGATTACAGTCTCAATACAAATTAGTAAACTAAACATGAGATTGTAGTCTACCACAGGAGCTTGGAGCAGTGACTACTTTACAACACTTACAGGGACTAAGGGGAACAAAAGTAGCCACATTCCAGAAGGAAGGACAGTGTCAATATCAATTCAGAGATGATTTGAGGATCTACAGATGAGTGATACACAAATAAGATACATTTCTGTAAATAGTTAAAGTACTTAAATGCATTTTTGTGATTTTTAACTCCTGAGTTTAGTATCACTTTAATGATCTCCGCTATGAAACAAGTAAAAGATTTACAGTGGCAGTTTTATGTGTGTCACTGTGATCCTACTGTTTTTACTTTGTGTGCAGTTTTGGGGGAACTGAACGTACTCAGCTCTCAAAATTAAAGGTAAGGGCTAAGAAGGTTCTGATTAGGGCGGGTCACTGAAATCCTCTTTCTGCTAGCCAGAAATTCTAAAGTGTCTCATATTTTATTAATGAGCTGCCAGTAATTTCCTGTTTTACGACATAATTTTTCAGTTTCCACTAATTAAAAATACAGTGTGTCTATAAAGACATAAAGCTAATTTAACAGTGAAAAGACCCAAAGCTTGGAATCCTGTAGCAGGATTTTAGGTTGCTGATGACCGTAAAAACTGATTTCTTTGTTGCGTTTAGTTTTGGCACTTGTAGCTTCATTTAATACAGTAAATTTATTTGGAATAGGTGTGTCCATCATTGCTGGATAAAGCAGGATCTCCTCACTCCTATACATTTTTATTGCTGTGCCTGTGAAACAGGAGATACATTGTGACAATTGTTATTCTTGTAACATAACCTAACAAAAGTAAATATACTTTCCCTGATGTCACTAGTTTGGTGAGAAGGAAAAGTGTTAATGAATCACCTTTAAACATGGAGAGGTAGTGATTCTAAAAAGGAAACCTTACAAATGGCTTACATTACCAAGCAAAATTCAGAATGGCAGATCTTCAAAGTTCAGCTCTCAATGGAAAAATCTTCTCCAGCCAGGGAGTGCACTGAGAGACTTGCTTTCACTGCAGGATCCCTATTAGGTACATTTTGGCTGCTGTGATCTTAGGAAGCTGGAAATTCCCCACAATCTTCATTTGCATGTATTAATGACTGATGTTACCCAGTGAACAGTTCATAACTGATCCACTGCAAAATGTTCTCCAAAGCAACCTGTTTTTATGAGTCTACCAGATTACTGTAATGTAGACGGTAATGCCGAGCCAACAAGTCTGACTGCAATAGAATACCTTTTTACAGTTGTCTGTGTTTTGTGTGTATAACATACCCATTGGATGTATTTTAATTTTAACATCTCGCATAGGAGAACTTGTTTTACTTTCGATTCTAACCTGCTCAAAGGATTTACAAGCTAGTGACTCTTGGTTTTTGTTTCTGTCATTTTCATAGACGAAACACATTCAGCAGAGCTTTGTGGAATACATATATCATTCACACCAAAGGAGCTTACAAGCTATTGCTGCTATTACAGCAATGCCAACTTTCAAATAAGGGCCAGTTTGGATGAAAGTCACTTAAGCTGGCCATACACTGCTCAAATTGCATCCAAGTCCTACTGACTTGGCCAAAATTAGAGCAGTGTGTGGTCCATTTGGCACTCCTCCATTCAAGGAAAGTTAATTTTTCAATCGACTTTTATCGAAAAAGCCACTCCAAAAATTCTCATGTGAAGTGTGACTGCAGCCAATCAGCTGCAGTCTCTATTCAGGTATTCTGACAGTGGCACACCCACTGCTGTCAGAGTATAATAGCCTGGCAAGGGGGAATTCCCCCATAAATACAATTTAGCATGATGCGGGGTTGAATAAGAAAAAATACCTGTACATGGCCAGCTTTAACCTTCTTCCTCAACCCAGTTCATTTTTTGATAGTGGAAGGACAAGAAAAAAATCTCTCTGGGCGAGTCTAAAGGTGGCCATACACTTTACAACCATCGCAACGCCTTAGTCTTGCGATGGTTGTAAAGTAATTGAAAAAACGTACGATCTGCCCATCTTGGACAGGCAGATCGTACTTGCGATCATCGCAAGACCGCCCCCCTGAGGGGCAGGCTTGCGATGACCGCAATGCTGAACTGGCAGTGTGCGTGTGCGCACACCGGCCCGTGCGGCATTGATCTTACGGTCATGCTAAAAACCACGCGAAAATCGCATGATGTTCGGCTGGTTTTCTAGCATGCTCCGTAGACAAAAGACGTGCGACCGTACAGTAGAAACGGTCACACGTCTTCATTCACACTGCACGATTCTCGTACGATCGCGGGTTTTCCCGTGATTCTCGTACGAGAATCGTGCAGTGTATGGGCACCTTAAAGGTCGTACGAGAATCGTGCAGTGTGAATGAAGACGTGCGACCGTTTCTACTGTCCGGTCGCACGTCTTTTGTCTAAGGAGCATGCTAGAAAACCAGCCGAAAATCGTAAGATTTTTGGCTGGTTTGAATCATGCTCGAGAGACAAATGCCGAATGGGCCGTTGTGCTCACGCACACTGCCCGTTCAGCATTGTGGTCATCGGAAGCCCGCCCCTCAGACGGGCTTCCAAGATGGGCAGGTCGTATGTTTTTTAAATTACTTTTAAATTACTTTATAACCATCGCAAGACTAAAGACTAATGTCTTGCAATGGTTGTAAAGTGTATGGCCACCTTTAAACTCATGGATAACTAGCAGGTTTGTGCTGCAAATGTGTGATCTTTATTGCTCATCTCCTTCCAATATTAATCATGCATGAAAAAGAACAAGCTTTAAATAAAATCTGTATGCACACCGAATTATTGGACCATCTACTATAAAATGTAAATTGTATATGTAGCCAACACCTCCTTTATTTTAAGTTTTAGATAGAGTGGTGAAAGGTTAGTAAGGTTTTTACATCTCAGTCATCAATCCGCGCTGCCCTGTCTCTAATCACCAAAGATGTCATTGGTGCTCAGGCAATGGTGGCCTGTCAAATATCCTGTATGAGGAAAAAGCCAATACACTATATGCAGACTCAACATTTCTCTACTGCAAACCCAGACTAATATTTTGTATGGCATGTCAGTAAAAATACATTGTATCTGCCCATGGTGTGCTGACTTTTTCTAATATTCGGTTTTAATTGTCTGTCTGTTTCCTGCTAGGTAAATTCACACTTTCTATTTTGTATTGGTGACCATTGTCAGCAGGACTGAAAGTGAGGGAAAATCAAAAATTTTGAATTTTCTCCATAACCGGAATACAGGGGAAATCATTCAATGGAGACCCTTGTTCTGGTGATAAAAGGGGATTCCCCTCTTTATCTCTTACATCCCGTTGTGTCTGTAGGACATAAAGAGAAATCTGCCTAATGGGACACGCATGACCCAAAAAAAAAAAAAGCCTGCTGGGTTTTAACTAGGGATGCACCGATGCCAAGTACAGTACTCGGTACATGTACAGATACTTTTGAGCTCCTAGACTAGAGAAAAATTCAAAAGTTAGGAGGCAGCTGTCATTTGTAAGGAGCACACGGAGCTCCTGGGATTTGTACATCTCTGTTCTAATTTATGATCTTGTTTTTATAAATGGATGTACCAATACAAGTTTTGTGAGTACAAGTACTGGTACTTGCCCAAGTACTTACAAGTACGAGTACTGATACATTTTTGTTTATTGTCATGTGACAGTTTTTCTAAAACAATACAGACTACCGGTAATGATTTCAGGACAGTGGTGGAGCGCCGCAGCCAGGTCCCAGCTGCAAACGCTGCAACCCTGGTAGTTCTCATGAAAATGCCAAGTATCGGCATTGGTACTCAAATTATCGGTGAATCCCCAGTTTTTAACCATCCCCTCCATCCAAAATGAAGGAAAATTTGGCTTCCATTGCTATATGTAAAC